ACGAACTCAAAGGCAAACCATACAAAAAATCAAAAATAAAATATCATCTTGGATTTTAAAAAGCAAACCCAATATCTAGTTATCAGTTTGACATATATTGCATAATATATTGTATATATTCAGATTGTATATTATATTAGTTCCATATTAGTCCAGATATTAGTGTATAAGACGATTCATTAGCGAATTCACTCATAGGTGAATTATCTGTGAATGTGACTGGTGCACACACAAGCTTTTAAAGCTCATTTTGTACCTGAAAATGTATGTAAACCATATGACTGTTCATGGCTATTGAATAAATACTCAAATACTCAAAGAAAAAAAATAACGTAACTGTTACACTCCACAGGGTATTACGAATTTCATGAAAAAAAAAACACGCTATAATTGATACACCCGGTATTCATAAAAAAGAGGTTCTTATGCGAATACAGTTTGCACACCAATGTTCAGAAGGAAATAATCTGTCATTCAAAACAAAAAACGTCAAAATCGGACAACTAGTTTTGATGAAAATGTTTACTAAAATTTTAGCTACTTTTTGGCGGTGCATTGATTTCTTGAAGAAGTGTATATGAACAAAAAAATTGCTCACCTTTTCAAAGTATCCACTTTTCTAGCTTCCGATTCCATACTGGTGGAGGCAAAAAAACTGGTGTCATCATCAGATATACTTGGCAGTTTACGAACAGACGACATACTACTGGGAGACTGAAATAAGACATTTGACGTGTTGATAAATATTCGTCTCTTCAGTAAAACACCTACACTGGATTTAGTTCAATGAATTTTCGAAAGAAAACTTTTGACTTTGATATATACCTCACGCTGTAGTGGTGCTAACTGGCGAGAATATGAATATCCCTCATAGAATTCAATGAGTATTGCTGTTGTTATTCTTTACTACCATAGTGTATCAGAAATATTTTTCGTGCAATCGTACGCGAAGAGAGTAGTTCGCGTTCTCTACATAGTACGCGAAGTACAACTTCGCAGCCGTTACCTATAGCAGCGGCCGTCAAACAAGACGTCACTTCCGAATTTGATATTCCAAAACTACCACAATAGACCATTTTACGCTGAGCGCTGCTTTTGACATATTCGATATCATTATTCTGACATTTCACAATATGTTCAAATTCTGTCACGTCATTCATTCGCTCATTCGAATAAAAAATGTCGAACTTCTGTTGAAATTGGAGAAAAAGGAAAAGGAGAAGGAGGGAATGGATAAAAAATATTGAGCAATCAGGCAGAGGTTTGAATGAAATCATGACGTACGAACACAGAAGTTTGAAGCGTTCATTCTGGTCTAGGAGAGCCTAGACGCAGATTTCACCAAATTATTCACCAGGAAAACAAAATCTGGAATCTCTAGATTCTCTCCGCCAGGTATTTATACTATTGCTTCATTTTTTGTTACCATGTACTAACCATCCAGTTTACAGTCAATCAAATTGTAAAGGACGAAACGAAAATTGAATGAATACCTAATAAAATTCAATTACATGTTTCCGAATCTGGTGTGGATGGTACCTCGCGAGAATGTGAATTCAGTGAATGTGTATATCTTGGTGTATTTCGAACAATAGAAAATCTCCATCTCAATGTATCTTAGAGCAACGCCAAGCATTTCTAATGTTATATGGTCAAAAAACACTGACACAATATAATTGATTTTTCTCATGATGATGTTAGCCTCTACTTCACCTTCCAATCCAGTACATTATGTTGACTAATATATTCAGGTTGTGTTTCATAGAATATGAGAATCTTCATTACTTTTTTTAACATATTTGTCCTCGAAGCCTTTTATTATAGAAGGAAATGTGCTGTTAGATGATTATGAGGAAATTATGAATATTCGCACTTATATTTTGTTCAGTATAGCAACCTGAAAATTATAATCTATCAATGGTTTTTATCTTGATAAAATTACTTAATGAAAACCAGATATCAATTTTGAAATTTCAACGTGTACTGTAAGAATGACATGTCATTTTTAAATTTTGTGCTAACATTTTGTCAGTGTTGCCAATGAAAGAATATTTGATTTGATATACCGGATCAGTTCCAACTTGGGCCACATTCTGCGTAAAATGGTCTATAGCAACGGGACCACATTCTGCGTAAAATGGTCTATAGCAACGGGAGAGTTTTTGATTGCCGACCGATTGCGACGAATTGGACCACATTTCGACCGCTGGATTTTCAATTGATGACCGAATTGACCGATCTCCAAATGGTAACGTTTTTTATTGAATACCAGGACCAACCGATCCAAGACCACATCACCAAGGCTTTTTGTTGGTCGATGTGGTTCGAGGATATAAAATATAACCTCAAAACAATCAAATTACTCGAAAATAGTGGAAAAGTGGCAAGGGTATCTACAGTCTTCGAAATAAATGAATCAAATTGATTATAATTGAACAACAATAGCAGTACATCACTGTATGATTCATTTGTGCGAAATATTTCTGGTATGCAGTTCAACATTATTATTCCATCCACAAAATATATCTCGGGAAATTCAATGACTGATAAAAGAGATGGTTCCTAGTATATCTCTGATTTTTGAGGTATCAGGATAGGTGTTATTTTCGGTATCTTAACGATTGAGCAGTACAGTTCGTATTTAATAATAATAATAAATGATTTTATTGAGTCATCATAAATGTACAACAGGTATTATATATACAGGGTGATCCACGGTGGATGGCCTTTTAGAAGTATCTGGAGAACGAAAAGACAGAACATTCTGAGATGCTTTGATAATTGAACAGTCTCTATCCGTCTAAAATAATTTCATCGATACAGTGTTGCCACATCTAAAAATGCAATAAAATACAGGATGTTCCATTAGAAAAAACAAAGTTGCTAGTTGTTTCTGATAGAAGTGGCAACACTGCATCGATGAAAATATTTTAGACGGATAGAGAATGTTCACTTATCAAAGCATCCCAATTTTCAGATTGTTCTGTCTTTTTGTTCTCCAGACACTTCTAATAGGCCATCCACCGTGGATCACCCTGTATATATATATATAAATATATTATGGAAGGGAAGTCGTTACTGACCAGTAGGAATGAAACCAGTGTATATTGGGGGTAGCAGCAGTGTAAAAGAAATACTCTTTAAAGTTTATCCAAGCTTTTGGAAATGTTTATTTCCATCATCATCCATCATTATCCTACATCATCATTGTAGTGTTCCTGATGATGGAAATAAATATTTCCGAAAGCTTGGATAAACTTTAAAGAGTATTTCTTTTACACCGCTACTACCCCCAATATACACTGGTTTCATATATAAATATATATGTTTCTCAAACGGCAGAGTTCAATTTCACGATTAAATCGCGAATAGAGCATTGTCAGTGACGTCATATGACGGCCATTGAACACAAGCATACAAATTTTCCATAAGGGTACATGTAACTTTCTTGCACATTTACTACTAAAATACAATACCTGGAGCATTTATTTATTGACATGTTTGTTAATTCATTCTTATAATATACCTCATAATATACCTCAATAGATACTCATTTCGGAAGAAAATGTACACATTCTTCTTGTATAATATCTACAAGTTCAACAAAATCGCCAATGGGTCAGAAATAATAAAATCAAAATTCACACACAGCTTTGTTTGTCCTCCGATCAGCTGATGAAAACGACGAGTGCGCCATGTTGTGACGTCAGCAGACATTGCTCTATTGCTCTTACACTTAACCGTAATAGGGAGTTCATCCATTGATATGAATGAGCTCCTTCCTAGTCTAAATATTCATATACATTTTCCTAGATAGTTATGATATTATTCTATACATAATATTTACACAAACCTAAATATGAATTTTACAATTTACACGACATTTTATGCTAATTATATTATTGAGAAGGTGCAGGCAAGTTCTATTTTTTCAAATTGAAATGGGGGTTTTTCAACAAATACTTTTTCTTTTGTTCCTTGAAGTTTGAATGGCTACAGCTATTGAATACGAATGGAATGTTATTGAGAATTTGGGTGATTTGAAAAGAGAAAGAAGATCTAAATTGTACAGTTTTATAGATAGGTAGTGTTAACGAAGCTTTATGTCCAAGATTCAGATTATAAACATCTGTCCTAAATTTCATTTTGAAGGGACTTTGGTTCCTGTGAGGTTATCATTTTCTTAAAAAATAATGAGGAATGCAGAAGCCTTCTATTCTTTATGCTGAGCTATCTGATATCGTTTGTGAAGTTTTTACATATCTGATATCCCTTAGATTATCCGAAATATGATCTCGTCTGCTCAAGCCACAGTACTAGTTAGGGCAGGGCCATAAACAACATCTGCATAGTTGAGATGAGACAGCAATAGAGCTTCACACAGAATAATTCTTAGTTTTCTGCTCAGAATGGACCGATAAGCATAAAGGTTTTTCAGATTGCCAAATCCACTTTGTCATTGTAATCAGTCACGTGCCATTAACGACCGTTCGTTCAGGCCGGTCGGCAACCAACAACTCTCTAAACGTTATTCAGTGTCAGTTCATGATCAGATCATATTTTCGGTCAAAATATTTTGTATTCATTCAAGATGTCATTTCAGTAATTCAATAATAATTTTGACGATTGCACGAAAAAGTGTGTATACTCTGCATACCACGGCCTCGAAACTTTTTGGCGACCTCAAGATTATCTTGCTTCGCACGGAATCGGCCTTGGCGATAACTATCCACGCCAAAAAGTTACTTCTCCGCCTAGGCATTGAAAAACTATTGTATGTACGTAAATTCGCTCATATAATTTATACAGGATGTCCCAAAATTACATAGAAAGATTTCAACCACAGATTCTAGGGAAAAAAAGTTAGTACTTCAAATAACAAGTTGTCTATCGCACTTCGTTACGGACCTTGAAAGTATACATGGACATGCAGAAAAAAAAATTGTTGATATTTCACACCCTCACACACATAATATATTGTTTCATTACAGTTTCCAAATCTACCCCTCCTTAATAGAAAACCGTTTATCAACGACTTCTACACAGAAACATGCAAGTTTCGCGCCTTTTCAAGATTGCTTTTCATTCTTTGATTTCTCTTGAAAAAAACGCATCACAAGTGAATTGAAAAAAAATTAAAATTATATAGATTTTCACCAGCGTTCCTCGGTATTTCAAAGTCTCAATGGGTCAAGCCTTATTCTTACATTCTACAAATCTGAAAAAGGAAGAAAGTACTCACCATAACAGTACTGTTAGATTCCAATTCTGTTTTATGAGGTTTCTCCTCAGACTTGCCATATTTGCCCCTTGTCATCTGGACCCTATTGAGGTCAACCGAGTCATTCAGAGTGCTGGTACTACTTCGATTTCCTTGAAAATAACCAGATTTCAAAGGAGTTGAAGTATTAAAGCTGAAAGTCTGCGAATCTATCGCGGACGTTATCAATTTCATAGTATCATCTGGACTTCCCAAAGACGAATTTAAAATCTGTCTGCTAACATCCATCGCAGAAGTGCTTGGTTCATCAGGAACTGAGCAGTTAAGGTACGATCTATTATGACTGACGTTATTCTTTGCTGCAATGCTTTCCTTTGGAAGTGGATCGAGGAATATCCTGATCTAAAAAAATGAAATTTTGAATATTATTTGAAATATTTCATCAAATTTATCGGTACGTATTGTGGAGAAGCTTTATAGCTCCAGTGTAATAAGGGATCTTTTTGGAAAAATAGTACATCATCGTAAGGTCTACAAATCGAAATTATATTAATCTCTACAGGATGTTCTGTGAACGCGGGGCTACATGAATTATGATGTTTTTAAATAATTAAAAACCCTGTATTTTTTAAATATTTTCATTTTTCCTTTCCTTGTCTACACAACCAAGTCTTATTTTTGCAATTTCTATGCGGCGTCGCAAAGTTAACTAGAATTTTCAGACAGCCGATTTATAAAATATTTTCGGTTGAACATATTTATATTTGGTTTTCATATACTATAGTCTCCCTCGTGGTCAATTCGATCAATTCCTCATACATTATTGTATAAACTCTCACACAGCCACATACGTTTGCACGTCTCGTGCATAAATTTGTGTATCGAACACTGAATGACGCAGGTCATTCGATGCATAATTCTGCCCTGCACTACCCTATGTCGCAATTTGCGTTGATACATTGAAACAATTTGTTTACAAAAACACGTGCTTGCGTCTCAATGTGCGCCCGGGCTCATCATTGCATCTGTCTTCCAGTAGCCCGATTTCCAGTCAGTAGAGTCTGTCAGAATGGACCTTATTACTACTTATAAGTATACAAAACTACCAATAGAGCGAGTGTTATTATTCTAAGAAGAAGAGTTTATGTTTACATAACCGCCCAAATCAGTGTCGCACTTGCAATATTCAACATTATTCAGGTTTGTATTTGGTTATGGTTGTGCCGGTCAAGTCATGGTTGTTTTGGTATGCCTAATAGGGTGGAGCGAAAAAATCAAACTCTTTATAATTTGTTCTAATAGTGAAAAAAAGTTGTTACTGTAGTTCAATTGTTACCTTAATTTTTTTGAACATGAAATTATCATCCCTTCTGCCCTCTACGCACCCTTGGATCAGGTTGAGAATCAACTTCTATATATTGATTTCTAATAGTGAAAAAAAGTAGTAACTGTAGGTCAATTATCAACTTCATTTTTTTCTAGTGAATTGTGATGTATCCTTTACCCTCTACCCACCGTTTTGTATAGGGGTGGAAACCCTTCTACTTCAAGATTCCCATTGATTGAATCATTTTTTCGTGTTCAAGGTTGGCATTGCAGCTCTTGATTCGAGAGTGGCTTAAATGAGGCCATCTCGAGCTTCGGAGGCAATCTTACTCTGAGAAACTGCAGTTACTAACTTGACACACCTCTCAACCGCCTGAGTATGAACTGAGTGTACCAATATTTGTTTCTTTATTGAAATCGTATTTTCCTTCAGATCTTCCAGAATAGGTAGGGCTGTTATTTCAATAGCTTGCCAATCAATGAGGTCAATTATATTTAATCACTTGCTCGAAGTTTACTCAGGAATAACGAATGTTTTGACACAGGTCTCTTCTGAGCTTCAGTAAGCGTTTCAACGCTAGTTGTTGAACATTTGTTCTTTTATAAATTTTCAGTATCAATCAACTTCAAGTATCGATCGGTTCGCAATTCTGAAATGACTACATCCGGCAAATTACTACCAATTGCTTCAAAGATTATAACTCTATACCTCGCTCTATATCTTTTTCTTGAGCCAAATTTTACCTTCTCTACCGTCAAAGAAGATAGGTCTTATTGACTTCTCAACACTTTCTCTTGCAAACAGTGCATTTTTCTTTTCCTTACTCCCCTGACTCCAGTTTTATCTACAATATTAACTTCATCTACCTCTGTGATGATTCCAGCGTCCTTCAGAAGATCTGATGCTATCACAGCTGTGAAATTCCATACGAACGCCACTGGTAGCAACCAAAATAAATGTGGTACACTAACTGATGCCTCTTGATACATAGTACATGTATGCCAAATTTCATTAAAATATCAGGAGTGGTATTAAAGATATTAATAAAAAAACTATAAATTTTTGAGAACTTTACCACCCTGTAAGTATCTCAAAAGTTAGGACGTTTAGGTCATACGTTGATATAAAACTTTCTTTTAAGAATGGGCCCAAGAATCGCCTCCTCAACTATTGACATTCACTTATGAAACACCCTGTAAATTTTTTTCTCCAAATGTTATGAAACCATTATTGTGGTTTTTTTGTTGAAAACTCCATCATTTTGTGTTCACCCAATGTCTGTCAATTTTGATTATACCAATTTCATTCAAATCACTTGGAACGTTGCATGGCAACAAACTTTCCTGCCTAGGCAGAGACAGTGCACATTTCCTGACTGTTAAGTCTCAGCAACTGTCAATGAAAGTAGTTATTTGTTTTACTAGGCATCAAAGTAGTAGATTGACTGCCGCGGCTGATAGTTCATAGCCGAGCGATTTCATATTTTTTTAGAACTTTTCGGTCGATTTTTAGGTGCTATAATTATCAATAATGCCACGGTGATTTCCAAACGGATATAAATTTACCGCGAGTAAAAACTGATGTCACGATTTCGTAAGTAGGGGCAGACCATAGCACAGTTGCCATGAGTTGAAATACGATTGGGAACTTCAGAAATATCAGTTATTCAAACATTAATAAATTCGCAATCATTGGTAACATTCCTATTTAGCAATACACAATTAATATTCTCAAAATGTTTCCTTATAATTTGTGGCTAATTGCTCATAATACATTTCTGTAAAACGTTTTTATAATAATTCACACTAGAGGAAATTTGAAGCGGTGAACGTGACAACACCGCTCGCACGACTCGTGGGCGTGGTCTTTTTCCTTCTCAGCATTTAGCACAATGTTGCGAAGTCCCCAAAATGAAATTTTGTTATGGAGTATTAGACATATTTGGACATGGTGATTGCTCGAAAAAGTAAAGAATGAACTATAATATCATGGGTTCCTCCTATCATGTTTTATTCAACGACAGAAATCTTACATCTTTTTGATAACTTGATTATAATTAGTGACTTGACAACTTGCTTCATGAGTGGAAATGGAAGATTATCTGACCAATAACGAAATAGCATGAAAGCCGACGTCACCATTTATTCGACGTATCGCCAAATAGTGGCTATGACGGTACGTTTGGAATGGTGTCGCGTCAATTGGACGTGGAAAATTGTACGCACGACTATTGGTCGCAATCAATTGGACGCGGCGTTAATTGGACGCGGCGACAATTGGACGCGGCGATAATTTGACGCGGCGACTATTGGACGTGGCGACAATTGGACGCATGAGAAAATAAAAACAATTTATTGTATAAAATATGCAATACAGGGCTTATATCTATAATTATAACAAATACCTATGGCCTCGTTTGACAACTTTCCTATCTCATATCGTAATATGAATTTATGATACGAATATAGTACAATATTTTACCCACTACCAAAAACGCTGATTATTTAATCAAAAGTCCACATCATGTATTTTTCTTATTTTGACAAACCTCTGTTTTTATTATTACATATGTAGGTTGGGTTAGGTTAGGTATTTGTTATAATTATAGATATGAGCCATGTATTGTATATTTTATACAAAAAATTTCATTGGAATAATGAAATCATTTCTATTTTCGCATGCGCTCAATTGTCGCCGCGTCCAATTGTCGCTGCGTCCAATTGTCGCGGCGTCCAATTGTCGCAGCATCCAATTGTCGCCGCGACCAATTATCCGCGTCCAATTCTCGTGCGTCCAATTGACCGCGTCCAATTGTCGGTAATCCGTTTGGAATGAGCTCCGAAATTCAACAATTTCGAACAACGCATACACTCATCATTTACATAAAAAAAGTGTGAAAAGTGTCGCAAAAATTAATTTAGATCCCTAACGACACAGTGTAGTAATTGAAGAATGACAATAATTCATTTCAAGTCCACTCGCTCATTCTTTGTCAATAGCAGTATTATCAAGAAGTTATAACCCCCAAAAGTTAACAAAAAAGTCCAACACCTACCTCACCTTCCTATCCTCCCTAGACACGTACGATGTTCCACGGACATTAGGAATTTCATTTTATGCGCCTCAAGAGATAAAAAAACAACATAGCATACTAATAGGAACTTCAGAAATATTATTTATTCAATAATTCATAAATTCTCAATTATGTATGAGAAATATCCTTAATTAGCTATAAAAAATCCATTGTCCCAAAATTGCCCCGCTCATAATTAGTTGTGTCTTATTGTTCATGATAAATTTGTGTTGATAATAATTTGGTCTGGTGAACCTGACAACACAGGATTGTGGGCGTTGTCTTGTCAGTACTCAGCATTCAGCACAGCATCGCCAATTCTCTATAGCCAATATTTACATAATGTTTTGTTATGGAATATAAGAAATATTAATTACTATAATTTCGTGGCTTCCTCCTAGTAGGTCAAATGGATTATTGTATTTGGATGTAGTTCAATTCAACGACAAGATTCTCAACAACTCTCTAATATCTTGATTATAATTGGTGATCAGACAACCTTGGTTTATGAACGGGAATGGAAGATTTCCTGACCAACAAGGAAACAGCATAAGATATGACGTCACCATAATTATATCCGTAGCATGGTCAAATGGCGGCCATGACGGCACGTTTTAAATGAGCTTAGAAATTCAACAATTTCAAACAACACATAGACACATTATTTACAGCAAAAACGCGTAAAAAGAGTTGCAAAAATCAATTCAGGTCCCTATCGAAACAGGGCCCACAGGGGAGTAATTCAATGCCCAAAATTATTCACTATCAGTCCAGTAGCCTATTCAATCTCACATTTTTGTACATATCATAAATTCAAATATCTTTAAAACCATCACAAAGTAATGAGGTGAAATCAGTTAGTGGTAGGAATAAGTTGAGGTTCGTACTCTTCTAAGACTCGAATGAAATTCAATTTGATAACATTTCTATTGACAAAACAAGCTGTACCTCTCGCACTCTCCCAGAAAGTCCAGATTGAGAATTGTTGGCAGACGATAGAGCGGCGCTATATTGCTCTTCATCTTCCTCTTGGATCGTTAATAATCGTGAACTGGAAAGTTTCATTTTGAATCAGACATTAAAACTCATGTAATGATACATACCAATATTCGGCCTCAGTTGTGTCCTCTTCTTCTTCAAGGGATTCTAATTGAGAGATGTGAAGAATCAATATAAGAAAATAATAGGTGTTGACAACCGTCAACATATCAATTGTGTGGCGTAGGTCTTTTATTATTATTATTCAATAAGTATAATTAATAATTATATAAGTTTGTTGACATGCAAGTCACACATATAATAATTGTACATATGTTTATTACTCATTATGGATCTTGTTATCTCTTAAAGTATTCAAAACAATAAGAAAAATACTGATAAATAATCCATAGGAAATTCGAAAACTGTCAGGGGTACGTTTAGTAATGACTCTGGTGTTTTCAGTGCACCAAAGTGTTAACCTAAACTGAAGTACTTATTTGGGAATCAGATAATATTTTCCACAGATTATTTCATGGATAGTTCACGAAATAACAGAGCGTTGTCCCAGAGTGCGCCCACATTACTCTGCTCTTAACCAAAAATCGCCAAACTATCTACAAACCACGAAAATTATCTTGTTTTTTTTTTCAGTTTTATATTTGCTTGGTTTCTAGAAATCCCTGAGTGCTTCATTCACAATAATAGGGGATCAAACGTGAATAACATTATTCACACTATAGTCCATTCCAACTTAAAAGATACTGTTGGAAACCATAGGGAGAAAATATAATACCTCCCTAATATTATGACTTATGACGTGACGTTAAGGTTGAAGTTTTCTCTGATTCCCTGATTCCTAAACACATCCCAGCAGTAATCAGTAGAGAAATATGATTTTGATACCATAATCTACTACTATGTTGACCGTTTATATAATATTGAAAAGAAAATAGGAATAACACACCTAGTACCAAAAAAAATGATCGGAAAATATCAATACCACCATAATGTGGATGGAAGAATAGGCGAGTGGACAATTTTTTATTTTATTTATCAACTAGAATCTTCACTCAAATACCATACAATTTCATATTTTTTAAGAATTTTTCGGTCGATTTTTAGGTGCTAAAATCATCAATAGTGCCACGGTAATTTTCAAACGGCTAGAAATTTACCGGCAGTAAAAACTGAAACCACGATTTCGTAAGTAGGGGCAAACTATATCACAGTTGCTATGTGTTGAAATACGATTAGGAACTTCAGAAATATTAGTTATTCAATAGTTCATATATTATTAATAGAGTATTGGTAATATTCTAATTAGCAATAAAAATTCAATTGTCTGAAAATGTTCCATTATGATTTGTGGCTTTTTGCTTAAATTTGTGTAAATAATAATTGTGTTAATTCACACTAGAGGACATTTGAATCGATGAACGTGACAACACGGCGCACTTGTGGGCGTGGTCTTGTCAGTTCTCAGCATTCAGCACAATGTTGTCAAGTCACCAACATTTACATATTTTGTTATGGAGAATATGAAATATTTGGAAATGCTGGTTGCTCGAAAAAGTCAAGAATTAACTATAATATCATGGGTTACTCCTATCATGTTCTATTCAACAACAGGAATTTTTTTTGATAACTTGATCATAATTGGTGACTTGACAACCTTGCTTCATGAGTGGAAATGAAAGATTATCTGACCAATATCGAAACAGCATAAAAACTGACTTCACCATTTATTCGACGTATCGCCAAATGGCGACCATTACGGTAGGTTTGAAATGTTGGGTACTTGAATGCCAATAATTCATTATCAGTTCACTCGCCCAATATGATAGTAGATTATTATTCTGAGATTCAGCAATGTTACTTCCATAAAAGTGAAAATGTGTGTCAAAACAATAAAACAAGGTTGAATTTCTATTTCCACAGATGAATGAAATATTCCTGAATGAAATCAATAGAAAAATTATTATTAATAAATCATCCTAGTTCAACCAGAAAATATTTCACAGTATCAATTAGAATAATTCCTGGTTATTAGTTTTCCAAGGAAACTCACCGTTTTGACTTGAATTTACTGCATCTAACACTTCTAAATTTGTTCCTCTTCTTCTGCTTACCATTGGAGGAGAACCTGCCTGCGATAAAAATTGTTCAACTAACCGTTGTTTTGAAGGAAGCGGATATGAGAATTTCTAATATCTCCATGGATAATGAAAGTATTCCTATATTTTTCACATTAAAAATTTTGGATACCAATTCAGTTTGGTTGATCTTAAACAATTTGATGGGTGATTTAAAATTGGTTTCCTCATCTGAATGAGATAAAGAATCATCAGAATCTGCAAGAAGATAAACACATGAATACAACCAAGAGATAGCCATATTTGACAAGAATTAAGTATTTGAAAATGAGCTATGAAGTATGTAACTGTGATTTCCCACAAAATCAAATACTCCTGGGCTGGAAGACTGAGAGTACATGAATAACAAAATATTATCTCCAAAACAAGGAAGTAAGGAGGCCCAGAATAATTTCCACGAAAATTCAATAAGGAAAATGTTTTTGGACCAAAAAAAATCCAGCAACAGAATTATAAAGAAGCTCTGCAATGGAAAAGAGCTATAAGATACAAGGAGAAAGAGCTACTACATATAAAATAACTATAATTACACATAATACTCTTTATAATCCTAGTGAGAAAAATCGGAAAATCCATATAGTTCATGACCAAAAACAAGAGGAAATGCGATCCATTTTCCAATTTTTTCAAGAACAAGGAGGACAGTAAGCAAGTGAGGAGCTGAAAGAACCTAAGAATCATGACAAAAATCCCAAACTTTGATACAGGTTAATTCCAAAGAATTAATGCTGTCTTTCTCAATTGACAGTGGCATGTCAAGAAGTCTAGATTATTCAGTGAAGGTTTTGGGCATGATACTTTAATCTCCACTCTTGCTTACTGTTATTCTTGTTCTTCCACAAAATGGAGAATGGAATGCATTTCCGTCATTTTACGTGATGATTTTGGGCATTCTTCCTTTCTCAATTAAACTGATTCACTTTGAGCAATCACTGTCTTCAACAATTTTTTTTTTCTGATAATTATAACAAATGAATAACATAAATTTGTTCAAAGCATACTTGAATAAATTGAAATATCCATTAGAAATCACTCACCTCCCTATCATCATCTTCTCTCATAGTATTTCGACTACTACTAGGCATACCCACTTCACTACTAGTGGTTGGTCTGTCATTACTGCGTCTCTGTGACATGTTCCCTTCAGGACTATTATTTCTGTGTCCACTAGGCCTTGGAGGCGTACGAGATGGACTGTCATTCAATCGGGATAAAGTTATGGTGGGGTTCTGCAAAACGTGACCATTCACTATATGCGGTTTGACAGTCTGTGTTATGGGATCTGAAATGAAAATTGTTATCATGATATCTAGTGAGCAATAAATTCGCTCATCAGCTATACAGGGTAATGCAAATTTCATGGTACACTATTGTTAACTCGGAAACGGAGAGAGATGCGAACTACGTTAAATTACGAAAAAAATGCACAATTTCATGACCATTTCAAATATCAAAAGAAATCGAGGACATCCCTCTTATTTCCTGAAATATCCTGAAAAAACTGAAAATAGTCGATTTTTATTATAATCAATAACTTTTGAACTGTTTTTACTAGAGTTTTGAAATTTGGTACACTTACTGAAGGTCGCATGGCGAATTCAACGGTGATATGAAAAAAATTCTAGGCACACTAGATTCGAAGATATTGAAGCAAATTTCGATTTTTCTAATGGTCGCCATATTGGATTTTTGCACCATCCGATAGATCAAAAAATTACCAATTCATCGATGTATCACACTTCCATGTTTGATGATGGAATGACGAAAATACAGGAAAAATAGAAAATTAATAATTAAGTTAACGTATAAGATCTGCTATCAAGCTTACAATTTCAGAAATTTTCATTAAACGTGAAAATAATAATATTGAACTCAATTTCTGAGGTGCTCGAAGTGACCCCCTCCATTTTCAAGACAAAGTGCAGCTCGACTGCAAATGTCATTTGCTGCTCTCCGTATGGTTGTTGCTTCCGGTATTGAATTAATTGTTTGTACAATTTGTTCTCGCAAATCTGCAGCGTCTCCTATTGTTCTGGCATAAACTGTATTTTTCAAATATCCCCATAGGTAATAGTCTAACGGATTTAGATCCGGAGATCTAGCGGGCCAGCGTACTGGACCGTTAGTGCCAATCCACTTCCGTGGAAACATTTGATGCAATGTCTGGGTAACCAATGCTGCATTGTGAGCAGGAGCACCGTCTTGCTGAAACCACATTTGGTGGATCTGATCAATGGGAAATCCATCCAATGAGGGTTCAACACTATCTCTCAACAGGTTCCTATAGTCTTCTCCGTTCAGGCGATCTTCAAGAAAAAATTGACCCAGAATTCGACCATTGAAGATGCCACACTAGACATTAACCGAGAATCTTATTTGATGACGTGATTCTTTCTTGAGCTTTGGATTCTCTGTGGACCAATAATGCTCATTGTGACGATTGAAAAGGCCATTATTTGTAAAAAGGCACTCATCTGACCACAGCACTTTCAATGGAAAATTTACATCATTGTTCACCCTATTCTGTAACCATTCACAAAAAAAGGATCGCCTGGCAAAATCTTCTCGACTGATTCCTTGTACTACATGATAATGATAAGGGTGGAATTTTTGCTTTTTGAGTATTCTACTAGCTGTAGATTGATGGACATTACACTGCCTTGCAATAGCATAAGTTGATATGTTTGGATTAATGTGCACTTGTGCTAGGATATTTATAACGTTAAGATTCAACCCTCTTCTCATTCTATACCTAGGTGAATCAGAAAGTTATTTATGGAAGAATACAAAAATGTTAATACATATCTCACCTTGAACGCCTTGTTGCAAAAGTTCCATCTAGTCTGATCTTCTGTGCAATCCTTTGGAAATAATTTCGCGAAGGCTGAATCCGTTCAGGGTATAAATTTTCATACATTTCACTAGCTCGCATCGAATTTCGAAAGCAGCGAATGTAAACATCATACATATCACTCCTTTCTTCAATGCTGTAAACATTCACCATCTCAATTTGGTTTCAGTAGAGATGTGAACAATTATAATTTTCAAATTCTCAGAATGACAGATGAATTTTTAATGTTCTAATATCCAGAACTGAAAACTGGACATTGTGACAGCCGCCTCCTTGACATTGATGAACTGGCTGGCACGTGTCGAATTCCGTAAACAGGATGTTTCTTAAGTATGTGTAGAAAATTCAGGAGCAGATTGTGATACGAAGCTCAAGAAAGAATCATGCCATCAAAATATTATCGGTTAATAGGTGATACGGCATCTCCAATAAACGAATTATGGGTCCATTTTTTCTTAAAGATTGCCTGGACAGAGAAAACTATGAGTTTCTTTTCAACCGAAATCACCAAATGTGGTTTTAACAAGATGGCGCTCCTGCCCACAATGCTGCATTTGGTTTCCCAGATGTTGCGTCAAATGTTGAACAAAGATGGATTGGTCCAGACGGTCCTGAGCGCTGGCTTGGCCTGCTAGATCTCCGGACCTGAATCCATTGAACTAGATCCTATGAAGATATTTGAAAAATACAGCTTATTGCAGAACAATCAGAGACGCTGCAGATTTACGAGAACAAATCGTATAAACAATCGATTCAGTACAAGAGGCAACCATACGGAGAGCAACAAATTACATTATTTGCAGTCGAGTATCACGTCGAGCACCTCAGATATTGAGTTTCATATCATTTTCTTGACTTTCAGTGAAAATATCTGGAATAGTAAGCCTAATAGCAGATCTTATAGGTTAACTTAATTATTAATTTTCAATTTTTCCTGTATTTTCGTCATTCCATCATCAAACATGGAAGTGTGATACATCGATGAATTGGTAATTTTTTGATCTATCGGATGGTGCAAAAATCCAATATGGCGACCATTAGAAAAATCGAAATTTGCTTCAATATCTTCGAATCTAGTGTGCCTAGAATTTTTTTCATATCACCGTTGAATTCGCCATGCGACCTTCAGTAAGTGTACCAAATTTCAAAACTCTAGTAAAAACAGTTCAAAAGTTATTGATTATAATAAAAATCGACTATTTTCAGTTTTTTCAGGATATTTCAGGAAATAAGAGGGATGTCCTCGATTTCTTTTGATATTTGAAATGGTCATGAAATTGTGCATTTTTTTCGTAATTTAACGTAGTTTGCATCTCTCTCCGTTTCCGAGTTAACAATAGTGTACCATGAAATGTGCATTACCCTGTATATGAAATATGCGTTCGAAAATAGAGAACAATATATCAGCGTTTTCGCAGATTTTACTTCAGCGTTTGATTGTGTTAATCATCAAATCCTCCTCGATAATTCACATTTCTATGGTAACAGAGGAGTGTGCTGGAAAATGATAAAATCATATCTTGAAAAGAGACTCCAGGTTGTAGAATTTGGTCAGTCTCGTAGTGATGAAAAGGAATTGATAAGAGGTGTCCCTCAGGGTTCAATAGTAGGACCGCTCCTCTTAATTATTTACATCAATAATTCACCACACTTCGTTAACTCATTTAATGTAAAAACTACAATGTTTGCAGATGATGCCACTCTGAGTATAAGCATTAGAAGATTTGGTAAGTCCTCAGCAAATTTGGAATATTGTACTAGAGAAAGCAAGATATTGGTTCACTGCAAATGAGCTGATACCGAATGAACAAACAACCAAAACATCTAACTTTTGAAACGAGAAAGCAAATTGATTCATAGACCACATAAATAACCTTTGTACCAGACTAAGTAGGTCAACATAATATGCAATCAGACTGATTAAAAAATCTGTAACCTTAATGCAGCTCTTATGAATCATCATTCGATATTCAATTCAGTTCTTAGGTTGGTATGGAATCATATCCTGGGGTTGTACATCAAAAATTCATTTTGAAAGAGTATTTGTACTATAAAAATTCGCCATAAGAAGAATAGCAACAGCTAAACTTGATGAAACGTGCAGACCACTATTCAAAAATCTCAAAGTAATGACATTATATTCAGTTATTGTCTATGAAAATCGATTGAAAATTCGATTGAATTTGAAAAAATATATCACTCACACAGATGTGCACCAATATAACACAAGAAACAAATTGGACTTTGTGCTGAAAGCAAACAGACTGAATAAAAAACAGAAAATATAGGCATCAAACTATATTCTGGATTTAATGATAGTCAAACTTAAACATTGACTTTATTATTTTCTTTTAAATACAGTATTCCATTTTGGTAACGCCAAAGAATTTTAGCGTGTTCATTCATTGTGGTAATTTTATGAACTTTACTCTCGGATCTCAAATTTCGTGACGTGTCTATAAACTCTGGGTTTCTAAGATCTATAAAATTATTATTATTATTATTATTATTATTATTATTATTATTATTATTATTATTATTATTATTATTATCAATATAACATCTTACAATTCACTAAATAAAATTTGTTTGTACTTATAGGGTTTGTAATCCTGGCGTAATAATACCATCCCGTGCTGCCGGGATCAAATCCACCCGACCCAGGAATCCCAGGGTTTCGGTATCGGGATTGAAATTTTAAAAAGTTTGGGATATACTATTGAATACGTAATGAATTCATAAATTCTCGCATATGAACACAAAAATGTATTCTGTACATCAACAAGTGAAGAGAAAAAATTCCAATTCCGAGTATTTATTACTGAGTGATGACTGAACCGGTATCATAAAATATTCAACTCGTTAAGGGCACGGTTGGCAAGAAATAATCCATATGATTAAACTCGTTAATTTAACCCCCAGATACAAATTCGGAATAGAATCGTCCACCATATTGAACCGCCATTTTGAGTTCCCTAATTATGTCGAAAGAGTCATAATCTCCAACTAGGGAACTCCCAGATACCAATTTTGAATAGGATCGGATCATAATTTCAAAACACGTCCGCCATATTGCATCCGCCCTGTTGAATGCCCTAATTTTAACGATGGAAACATAATGCCCGACTCCAAAAACCCACAGATTTCAATTTTGAATGAAATCGGATTATAATTAGAAAACTCGTTCGTTATATTGGATCCGCCATCTTGAATTTCCTAATTTTGACGACGGAATCATAATCTCCGACCCCGATAATCCCCAGATACCAATCTTGATTAGAATAGGACCATAACTGCAAAAATCTTCCGCCATTTTGAATTTACAAATTTTGATGAAAGAATCATAATCTTCGACCCCGAAAACCCCCAGATACCAATTTTGAATAAAATCAGATCAAAAAACTCGTCCACCATATTGGATTCGCCATCTTGAATTTTCAATTTAAAAAATAGCTAACGACCGATGCTCATACCATTCATACCAACCGAATAAGACTGTACCAGTCGAATATATAATTCACCGCACATTTCTATTCGTCGGTTGAAGAATATCAGCATTCAATTCATGGCTGCTTCGAGCAAAAGAATACTACTCGCGGCCAGAAAATTGTCGAATTGCTGAAAAAGAAAGATGAGACCATCGCCCTGATACCAGTTGAACTAACTGAATGGGACAACAGTGCAGAATGTACAAACTTGGAGCCAGTGAAAGCTCACAATTTTGGTCGACAACGAGGAAATAAATGGAGATGCTCTAGTATATACCAACCCATTGCCAGTAGCTTACAATATTATTGAAAATGGTAGGCAGAGTGATAACAATCAAGATTCTTGCACAACCAAATGATGTTAATATAGAATCAGAATCATTTTCTGCTACAGCATCTACATCTGCAGATTATGTATTAGACTCAGAAGACTATGTTCAGGACCCAGATTTCATACGGACCGATTCAAATGAATCGGATAGTGAAAACGTATCAGATATCGCTGAAAAATCTGATGTGTCCGCTCTCATATATGTCACTACAAGAAGTAATACCGGGACTGCTCCCATTGTATCCGCTGCTGCTGCTGAGGATTCAATTGATGCTTGTGCTATTCCTGGAAAAGGTTACACTAAAAGAAAGGTAAAGTATGAAAAAGGAGAAAATTTGAGAAGAGTCTGAATGACAGGCTAAAAAGAGACAAAAGATGAAACACGAGATCAAACATGTGCAGTTAGATTGCACAAAATGTTCAAGAAAGTGCAAGGAGTTATCCAATGACCATCGTTCTTCAATCAATTCACAGTATTGGTCTATGAATTGGCAACCGAGAAGGATTTTTATTTCTTCGAATATTTCCTTTCATGATATCAGAAGAAGACGGGACAGTGGGAGAACGACCGGCAATAGAACCTTCAAATATTTTCTGAAAAACCAGAATGGTGAGAAACTCGAAGTATGCAAATCTTTCTTCTTAACTACACTAGGATATGATCGCAAAAATGATAAATTACAAACGTTATGACCAAAGAAAAACATGCAAACATCTGTCCTTCGACCTATATGAGATGAAAACATGCAAAACGCCAAAAACAGACAGGAACATGATAAAAAGTCATGAGAAGATACCTCCCTAGCCCGAATATCAAATACTCTAATGAGCTTCATAGGAAATGTGTATCGAAGGATTCGAATATTTGCTTCACAAAATTAGCACATGAAGAGTGCGAGATATGTGAAGGATTCAAACTTCACAATTCTGATCACAGGGAAACCTCGAGTTGTGGAAGCAGCATACACAGAAATCAAATGAGTCTCGTGAACAGTACAAGAGTGATGCAGAATATGATTATCGATAAAGTTTGATCTGTTTCTCTGCAGATCTCGAGAAGGTTATTATGTTGCCTCGAATCGACATGTTTAAGAGGGTCGTATTTTGTCAAAGGATCATAGTTTTTAAAGAAAGTTTCGTACCCGTAGGTAATAAAGGTAATAAACAGAAAATTAAACCCCTAGCATGTATATCAGGCAGAAAAAAGGAGGACCTCATCAGTACATTTCATGCATTTATGTTGCATATGAGTGACAAGGGGAATATTATCATCTGGCTCGATAACTGTGCAGGTCAGAATATAAACTGGTCATTGTTCTCATACCTGGTTTACATGATCAATTCACAAGAGATTTCGGCTCAGAAAATAATCTTCAGATATTTTGAACCAGGAAATACGTTTATGTCAGCTGACAGTTTCCACCATCAGGTGGAAAAATCGTTACAACGTATGAAGAAAGTTTATGATATCACTGATTTTGTTACATGTGTGCAATCCTTTAATTCTGGAAAAGTTGTGAAAGTGATGAGTCAAAATAATTTCTTTGTTTGGCCGGATAACTCGTCCATTCATAAAATAAACAACACGAAACCAATATCGTATTTGAAGGACATAGTTGAAGTTGTTGCTAAGCCTGATAGCTATGTATTATTCTATAAAAAAAGTTTTTCTGAGGACACGTCGATGGAATTGAATTACTTGAAGATTGAATTGTCAAAAGGATGCATCGAGAAACCAAAAATGATCCCAAAACTTCGAGGAATCAAACAGGAAAGAAAACGTATGATTTTAGATAATCTATCTGAATTGATCCCTGAAAATCGGTGACAATTTTGGCTGAATCTTCGAGTGAACGACGACGCTTCCGATTTGAGAACCGAATATGAAGACAATTGAATACGTAAACTTCCTGTTTTCGAATTTTCTGAATTTATTTTTCGTTTATTCAGTCTGTTCTTTCTTGAGTTTTGAAATTGTTTCTTTATTTTCACGAACGTTATTAAAAATATCTTTCGATTATTTTCTTACTTGTTCCATTAACAGTTGAAGTAAAATTATCTATTCGAATATTCGCCCCCATTTCTGGAAAAGATACCACACTATAAAGCAGTAATCACTAAAAGATGGTCTTTACTGCTTTATAGTGGAGCTGAATATGAAAATAGGTGGTAACATACTCAACTAAAAAGCAATTAACGCCAATTTACTATTTTTACAACAAAAATAATCTATAACGACACCAAATTGATCAAATATACAATGAAATGTGTTGATATGTTGGACTCAATTCAGAATGAACTAATATTCAAAAGGTGGCACAGTAATAAATACTTCAATATACATTTTCTCTAAACTAACTAATTGTGACATACTGCTCTCTGTCTTCTTAGATACTTGCTGTTTGTGATTTTCTTTGATTATATGACTCGTATTTCTGATACCATTAAAATTGTGCATATAAAAACGATTTATCACACATTAATAATTTGATACTGTGCCAACCACAGGTCATTTGATTGCCTAATTAGATAGATTATGTTGCTTATTAAAAGTTCCTACATCGATAATGTAAAGGGACCTTGATTTTTTTTTGGTTCAGACATCGGTTCACACTATCGAGTGTCTACTGTAGTTAGACATTTTTTGCTATGTTGACAGCAGTTTCTGTCAACTTGAGTGTCATTTGTCGAAGGCATTGTCTTCAAGGAGTTGTTCTTGCTCTTATTTTCAATAATGAACCATTCAACAGTTTTTGATCATACAGAAACACGATTTTTTGACAGTGGCGCCGATTTTATTCACATTTCAGACTTCTGTAGCCAACCTCACAATATGAAATCTCTAACATCTGAAAATATGGTCAATTGTGATTTTTTTTAATGCATTGATAATTTGTGGCAAATTATCTGATTTGTCATTACTAAACATATTGAAAAAATACTCCAATTTTTTTTTACAGAAATGAGAAAAGACTCCCCAAAAATTTATTGAATTGATAGAATGAATGTATTCATTTCGATTTCACCGGGTATATGTAATTGATAATTAATAATCAGTTATTACCTTTATTCAGATTGCTGACAGTGACTCCTACTGCACAGAGTTGCATTATCCTACCAAACATTTCAGCAAGTTCCATCTGTTTAGGAAACATCACTTTTGCAGCGACGTCGATATTAGAGAATATATTCTTCAAATTCTAGAACAGAAAATCAAACGTTACATTTTGATTTATGCAATAGATCATTGTTTAATACTCACCACATATTTTGAGTTCAAGTTGAAAAACTCTTCTTGTAATGAAGTAATTTGATCTTGTTGAGACTTTTTATCTTGTTGAAGTTTTGCAACTGCTTGAGTCAATTGTTTGTTTTTTCCTCTCAGTGCTTTGATATCTGCAAAACACATGTTAATTTTATAAACGACAGAATATTGAACTGATGCCGTTCATAAGCCGAGAAATATTACGATTACTGAAACACTTTCTGTGTCATACAAGCACTATACAATCACCCAATCGGAAGTTGCTATGGATGATGTAGTGATGAACAAAACTTGGGTAACTATCAGTGAGTGTAGAACGTGATGGGAATGTAATGTGTCAGTTTTTAAGAATAGCCACCATTTGTTCTCGTATTAGGGTGTAACATCAGTAAGATAAAATATTCAAAAGCCTGGGTATTTATGAGGATATTTCGTATTTATGAACTTTCTAACAGAAAACATGGAAAATTGCTATTAATTACACTATTTTTGAAAGTCTAATGTCTTGACGACAGGTTTTTCAATTTGACAAGCTTCTAAACAACCGAAAACAAAAACAATGTTTAGATTGAAAAACTCTTCATGAACCCATTCCCAGTGGTCTGGTATCTGGTAATCTGGTACTACAGAAATGACACCCTTAACAAAAACTACAATAAACAAGAAAATCTATATTAAAAAAAAACTACCCGCTTAAAAAACAAAATAAAACGTATTCATAAAAAAAACTGACTCCTCTCTCATGTCAGAGGAACAAGGAACAACGAACTTAAGAAACAAAAATAAACTTACTCTTTCAGTTTTTTTTTTTTTGATGTATGATAAATTGACATTCATCATACAGGACGTGGAAAGAAATTCTGAATTGAGAAAAACCTAATCACGAATCTGCGATTGAGGTCTATAAAAGTAACAAGTTTCCATCGTTCAAGTTTGAACTCCTTGATTGGGTGAAAGTATTGAAAAGGAACATTCTCATATATATTTATGAACACAAAAAATGAATATACATATAAAGAAATACATTGAGAATTCGCATTCTCCATGTGATGAAAATATTAATTCTTTCTCGGTTTATTCAACAGAAAACAACTACTTTCCTGGCTATATAATAATAATAATAATAATATGTTTATTCACCAAAGATCTATAAAAAGATATATAGGTACAGATTTCAAAATGAATGTAAATAAACAATGGCATCACTGAAGAAATAATTACGAGTAATTATGACTTGTGCGTGATATAGCCAATCATAGGTATATGAAATTTATCAAATATGAATATTGAGATTCTCCATAACATCTAAGAGTATCTAAAATATCTAAAAATATCTAGAATTATCTGAAAATATCTAAAAATATCTAAAAATATCTAAAAATATCTAAAAATATCTAAAAATATCTAAAATCTAAAATCTCCACCCACGTTTACTTAAAGGCATACTATATCTTACATATTATAAACAGTTAACATTAATACATTTCAGTTTCACTGCAAAGACAGAGGGCTTGTGGGCGTTGTTTGAATGTTAGAAAAAAAAAATTATATTAGAACAAATCGACCTATTGCATACCTACCTTAATATACTAAACTAATATTATCTGTTTTACTATAACGATATGTACTAGTATATAAGAATATTTGGAATACTTTAAATAATCAATTTTTTTGCTAATTGTCAATTATGTCATGAATTGACAGACGAGGCGTTTCATATAAGTACTGATTTACAATTTTTTTCAGCATGGAGAGGGAATATATAGTTTTTATATCATGTGGTAGTGTGTTAATTACTTTCGGACCTAGGAATTCATGTGTTTTTGTCCTATAGATTTGGCAGCAAAAGGTATCAGGTATTGGTTTTTATTTCGTGTTGAATATATCTGTTGTTTATTTATTAGCTGATTCTTTCCTTTGAATTGTTTCACTATAAGAGCTTTATAGTGTAGTTGTCTTATATCTAGGATGTTTGTTTCATTATACAGTTTTTCAGTTGAATATCTAGAGTGTTTATTTATTATCAGCTTTAAGAATCTTTTTTGTATCACCTCTAGTGGTTTCAGGTAGGTTTTTGAGATTCCTCCCCATCCCACTATACAGTATGTTATGTGACTCTGGGCGAGGCTATGGTAGAGAATTTTCTTTTGTTTTGGGTCGAATATGTACTGGATTTGGCGAAACTTATGTAAAACACATCTCATATGCCACGACGAATATTGAATTACATCTATTGAACAAACACGATAAGAATTTGAAAACAAAATCTTCTGAAGTAGACAATTTGCATTCTCCTTGATATAAAGATATGCATGCATATGATATCATTCTGAATATTTAACAGAAAACAACTACTTTCCTGGCTATTTGCCATGTCGAACATTGAATTATATCTGTTGAATAGGTATTCAAAAAGAGAGCATGAAAAATCAAAATCCTCTGAAATTGAGAATTGACTCTTTCAGTTTTCTCTTGCGAGTCTTGTGTAAGGAACAATGAAATAATGTTTTTTTTTATCGCTTGGAGCGCACGAAAGGGAATCCCTATAATGTTCAAAGAACATCGTGCGTTCCTAGGGAGGATAGGGATAGGAGGTAGGTATTGAAATGTTTTTTGAACTTCTGGAGATATGTTGTTGGGAATACTTCCTCAGGCAAATAAGTTTGATGTTATGTAGTTCAAACTTGATAGCCAGAAACAGACCAAATTTCTTTGTTGTCACTACTTATCACCAAATGATCCATCCTATGAAGAGCTCTTCGAGTTCTTGACCTGAAGCTTGACCTAATTCATCAGAACCATCCAGCAGCAGAAATCATCATCATGGGCGATTTCAATGTACACAACACTGCTTGCCTCGTACACCTCAACAAAACGGATGAAGCTGGGCGACAAGCCAAAGCTTTCGCCATCACTCACGGCTTTGCGCAGCTCATTCAGCCAACACACTTGACTTGTTCCTCAGTACAATTCAGCACCTTACACCACAGATGTACGAGCTCCACTTGGCAATTCTGCCCACACATTCGTCTAAACAACCAGGCCATTTTTTATTCCATCAACTGCTCCAGCAGCTCCAACACGTCTTGTATGGCAACTCAGGAGACTGGGACCGTCTTCGCATGTTTCTCTCCGAGTTCCCTTAGCATAGAATGTTTTGATTTTGAGGATTAGTCGCAGTGTGCTGCGTAAAATTCCGAGATCAATACGCTTGAAATGTACACATACATACCTCATTCTTCGCAGATCATCACCTTCGAATCCTTGGTTCAACAAGAACTGTTCTAGAGTTGTTGCCTTGAAACAAACAGCCTACCATTGCAGGAGTCAAAACCCTAACCTCGTGACTAGAGCAGGATATGTTGAAGCCAGACATTCCACCCGTTGAAAGTCGAATGCTCGAAATCGTCTTTCGTCAACATACTATTAGACGCATCCTGCTTGGTCTCAAAACGAATGAGGCTAACAGTCCCGATGGAATTCCATCCACTATTCTCAAAGAGTGTGCACCAGAATTGACACCGATTCTCCGCAAGTTATGTACCATCACAAGACGGGTATTTTCCATCTTGCCGGAAAATAACTAGAGTCCAACCAATCCCCAAAAAAGAAAACAAAAGCCTGCCTTACAACTATAGGCCTATTGCCTTGTTATCAGTTATCTCCATAGTGATGGAGGAAGCCATCAACATTGAGCTCATCAAATATCTGGAAAGCTCAGGAATCATCAATGATAGACAATATGGCTTTTGCCACCGGAGATCAATAGATTTTCTTGCCTACGTGACTCATATACATGGCAAGCTTTATTGGAAAAACATGGGGAATCTCTAGCTGTAGCGTTGAATATATCGAAGGCGTTCGATCGTGTTTGGCACCAAGTACTCTTCCCACATAATACCATCATACGGCTCACCACCTTAGCTATGCCATCTTTTATCGAGTTTTCTTCCAGGCAGATCGTTCCATGTGGTGGTGGACGTTGTATCGTCTGAAACCATTGCCATCAATTCCGGCGTACCACAAGGATCAATTTTGGCACCAACATTGTTCCTACGTCATAACAATGATCTGTTGGGAGCAACCACTTGCCCTATCCACAGCTTTGCAAATGACAGTACTCTCCATAATGCATTATCTCCTAGAATTCCCATTTCTTCCCAGGAAACTAAGAACTTACGACGAAGGCAGGTCAACGAAGATCTTGCTGAAATTACATCCTGGGGCACCGACAACGCCACGCAAACTAAAGCGTTTTCTCAGTATGCCATTCCCAATCCCACCAAGACAACTATATCTATGCTCGATATTAACATCAGCAATACTCTCTCATTGGCATATCATGTCCGATCCATCACAAAAGCTGCTTCACAAAAATCCAGATTATTTTTTCGTGCGAAAACCTACTTTACACCTCTACAGCTTCTCATGATCTACAAAGCACAGATACGGCAGGATCTAGAATAATGTTCTCATGTATGGGGTTCAGCACCCAAATATATGCTGATGCTCTTAGATTCCATCCAGTGAAGAGCCATTTGCCTGGTGGGTGATGCCACATTCACGAACTCTTTGACCCCTATAGAACACCGTAGAAAAGTCGACGACCTTTCACGTTTCTATAGATACTTCCACGGGAGAGGTTCCTGAGAAATCTCTGCTATATTTCAATCACTAGCAATACCAGTCAGACAAACTGGACAAGCCCAATCAGCACATCTTTTCGTTGTCAACCTTGAAATATATCCATGAATACTTTCCCAACACTCGCTGGTCTATAGAACGGCAAAGCTTTGGAATTCTCTACCAATGGAAGTAATCCCAAGAACTTATAACCTCGCTTGTAACCTCAAAAAGTCCAAAATAAAATCCAATACCTACCTCTTCTCCCAATCCTTCCAAGGTATAGTCTATTGTCTATGCAGTCAGTTGAAACAGATCATGAAAGGAATGTCCGGCCACGCTGCCGCTCTCTTCCAAAGGGACCTATAGTCTGAGTTGATGTGTTGTTCCAACTTTTGCATAGTTTTTATTCGGGTTATGCATGTGTGGTCCAATAGATTAAACATTTTTTTTATTAAACCAACGAAAACTATAAAAACAGCTATTAAATACTCAAAATTCTTGTTATAAATAAATTGGTG